CAAACACCAATAAGTGCTTAATGGTATAGTCTTGGGCCAAATAAGCACTTATTTTTAAGAACTCGGCTTCAGTCAGTGCAAGGCCCGTTCGAACARCCCTTATGGCCTTGCATTGGGAATATCACCCTAGATGTGAAGATATTCCCAGTGGAAGGTTGAAAAGGCTGTTTGAACGGACCTTGCATTGACTAAAGCCGATCTCTATTTTTAAGCACTCCCAAACATGGCCTAATTTGCACTTAAAGAAATTCTGGTGCAAACTGCACTGGAATCATTATTTAATAGAATATAATTCAAGTTTAATGGATGTGGAACCATCGGTTGAGTGCCCCCATTCCCCAAACACAATCTTTCTATTCTACCAAATCAATACACAAAAAATAGCCCAAGGCTTCCTTTAAAATAGACAAAATCCACAATTTGAAACGACATTTCACTCAGATCAGGACTTAGTAGAATGTGGTTCAAATTTAACCAAATTGTAAGATTCAAATTATTCAACCCTTCCTCTTGAAGGGATGGGAGATCCATCATATGGATGGCTGAACCCTGTAGGAAGGTTGGGCAAAATTTCAGAAAATTCTTTACTCCCATCTAGGAATCCTATTCCCAATTTAGAAAACTGCATTTTCAAGGTTCGTTCTTGTAACCAAATTGGACCAAATCTGAAACCAAAATTAGGGAGAGATATACCTGATACGGAATCCACGCAAGAATGTTACTCCCAACGTAGGTGTTCACGCCCAAAGAGTGTACTAAATCCTTCCTCCACTAAAGATGGCATAGCTTAGGATGAGGCAAAATCAACAGATAGTTCTTCACCAAGAACTTGTGATTCTTCAGCATGAATCGAATGAGATAGTGAGCACAACTTCTAAATTGTTTCTTCTGGCAAGAAACAATATCAAGATCAAATCTTGATAAAATCCAAGAACTGGAGATCGAACAGGGTAGGGTGGCAAGAGCAAGAAGAAAAAGAATTGAAGGCAAGATCAGTCTAACTGAGTTGTCTTCTCTCTGTATTGAGTGAGTGCCTTTTTCAGGTCCGCCCTGCTCTCTTATTTATAGCCTTAAAGAGACAACTTCCAAATCTCATTAGGAGTTTCTTGATCCACATCTTTATTTGGATCTGAATTCTTTAAGTAATAAGGATAATCCCTTATCTTATCTACAAATAAAGATCAACCTTCTTAATCAAATTAGGAGTTCCTCGATACAAAACTTTATTTGGATCTGGACTCTTTAAGTGGATAAAAGTAACCCTCTTATCCTTATCTATTGATCCAAATCCCAGATCCACCCCTATTTAATTAATCTAATTAACCCAATTTGAAATGGGCTTTTAGGCCCATTAAGCTTTCAAGCTCACTTCCTCTTTAATGTTGGCTAGTTTGGCTCTTTTTGTATGGCGTGGGACCCTATCATTGATCTACACATCAGCCACATGGGTTTAGCCTAACCTCTGTTACAAGGTTTGGCCGAATTCACTGCTGAATATGGTGAACCCCTGAGTCCATCACTATGGGCTCTTAATGGGCCCAACATTTACACTAAATAGTCATTGGGTACAGCTATCTTATGAAGGCCCAAGGACCATGGGCAGATGCAAGATTAGCCCATCAGATATAACCCTCAATGGTCTTGCACTTAACCTCTCAGCCCATAATGATTAAACACTACCTGACAGGAGAAGACCTCTCCCTCGGCTGCAAGGTGTAGTGTTGCACTCTTTACTCACATGGATCCCGAAAATTAAAACCTTTTTGCAAATATTTTGAAACCATAATATATATATTTATATTTTGCAGAAAAACAAATTTCAACAGTTTAAATCAATTGCCGACAGTTTAGGTTTCCATCAGAGAGAGTGCATCCCTGATCATTCACTTTGTCCAACAAAGGGGTTAATCCTGTCACTATGATCACCCACTCAGATGAATTCTCGGACTGTTCCAACATACCTAGGTTTTGACCCCCTCTAAGGATCTCATTGATTAACATATCAAAGACAGCCCAATCCGAAACCTAGTGCAGTATCGTAATCGAGTCTAGGGGTCAGTTGTAACATTCTAGTTTTGCCCATATATCTCCAAGGTCCAAGGCAATACTAGAATTTTGGTTCGGTTCAGGGTTTCAAGAAAACCCACACTGCATGTACCACAGGTCTAACCCTGGCAGCTGAGACAAGCCACCCCAACCAACTTGGTGGTACATCAGTGTCAGCCTTTGTAGGATAAATCTCCCCAGATCTATCCAACAACTGTGAAGATTCTAAACTAACACGAGTCCATATGTGTCTAGTTTAAAGGTATTACACAAAAACACACAATAATAATATGAATCAAATATGTACTTTATTCATTTACAATAAATGTCATAATGTACATCATGCTAATTGGAGCTGAGGGCATATATTGTCTAATACCTCCCTCAATCTTTCTAATCTATCAATACCACTTAGATGCAGTGGGGTAATTTTCTTTGAAG